GTCGAAGATGTAACACACTCCCCCTCTTAAAAGTCCGAGCTACCTGCGAGGGAGAAGTTGTCTGTCCGATACCGGGGTGGGTCGGGCGGGACGAGCTGCGTCCTTAGCAAGGCGTCGCTTCTCGTAGTCGGCGAAGATAAGGGGTGCAGAAGTCTGCAAATCTGTACTGGAGATCCACCGAGTGTCATCAGGCGCACATTGCTTGAATGTGACTTTGAACTGCCTTGGCTTGTTGCCGAGTGTCATCAGGCGCACATTGCTTGAATGTGACTTTGAACTGCCTTGGCTTGTTGCCATACTTGCGGTGTGTGATGACTCGGTCAACTTCCTGATGTCCGTCCATAGAAGGCGGATCCTGTGATCGACGTCCGGGGAACTCGTCAGCTGAAGGTGGCGTGTAGATGGCCAGCTTCGATGCGTGGAAGACCCGATGCACTGTCAGGTGCGGTGGAATGTTGATCACGAAGGAAGGACCTGCGGGGTCGTCTCCAACAACAGAAATGACTTCCCATGGTCCGAACCATTTCGGAAGGAGTTTGCGCAAAACATCCTGCTCGAGCGCAAATTCCTCGGAGAGGACCCAAACAAGGTCTCCCTCGCGGAAAGGACATGGAAGTCGACGTCGGTTAGCCTGCTGCTGCATGCGGATCTGAGCCTTTTGCATATTTGCGCGGGCTTTGATCAGCAAGTCCCGGTACTTCCGGATGGAAGCGGAAGAGCAAGGGACGTCTATGTCGGCAGCCTGTGGCAGAAGGAGATCAGCGAAGATCCGTGCTTTCTCTCCACCATGATGTAGCTCGAATGGTGTGACGCGGATCGCCGGGTGCACCGAAGTGTTGTAGGCGAACTCAATGTCGGGACGCCGGTCAACCCAATCTTTCTGGTCGGGACGGATGAGCGTACGCAACATCATCTGAGCGGTCTGGTGCGCTCGCTCCGTCTAACCATCCGTCTGCGGGTGCCGAGCCGATCTCGGCTTCATTGTCGTGCCGGACTCGTTCATGAGAGAAGTCCAAAAGGCCGACATGAAGCGAGTATCTCGGTCGCTCACTATATCTTCCGGAACACCCTGGTTGGTAATCCAACCGGTGTGCAAGAGTCGTGCGAGCTCAGGTGCTGCAGCATGATACTTGCAAGGAAGGAAGCGAGCATACTTGCTCAAACGGTCAACGACCGTGAGAATACCGTCATGGCCGTGGCGATCGCGGGGAAACGGGCCTGTCACGTCCATAGCAATGGAGAGGCAAGGTGCCCGACGAATCGGCAACGGTTTCAGTTCGCCGAAGGGGACTCGAGATCGACCCTTGTTACAGTGGCAAACTGCACATGACTCAATGTACCTCGTGACGTCATGAAGGACGTCGGGCCAGTGAAAACGCTGGCGGAGGCGTGCTAGTGTGCGGTTCACGCCAAGGTGTGCCGAAAGTCGTGCGTCGTGGAATTCGCCGAGAAGACGAGTCCGTAATATGCGATCTTGGGGCACAACTAACAATTCCCTTCCTCTCGTGTGAAGGAGAAGGAACCCGTCGGAAATCCGATAGTGGCTATCCAGCGGGTGATCCGATGAAAGCTCTGCGTAAAGCGTAGAGTAAGTCGGATCGGACTTGTAGCCTTTGACGAAATGCTGCTGCAGATCGTCATCGAGGTCGAATGYCGTGGTCACAATGACACAAAAGTCGGGCCGTCGTGAGAGGGCGTCCGCAGCTTGATTGGCGGGACCGRGAATGTGACACGGGTCAAAATCGAACTGGTYGATGTARTACATCCATCGACCGATCGTGCCGTGTCCTGTGTTTTATAAAAGGTCAACGGATTGTTGTCCGTATTCCATTTGAACCSCCGACGGCCGAGAAGAAAGTGSCGCCACCGTTTGAGAACGGTGATGAACGCAAGTAGCTCTTTCTTCCTAGCGTCGTCGAGAGTGTTGACGAGAGGCACCTTTGGGGAGAAATACTCAACCGGATGCCAACCGTCCTCGTGACACTGTTCCAACACCGCACCAATACCGTATCCCGAAGCGT